GCCGCTCCCGACCTGTACACGGGGCAGGTTGGCCCCGGCGTGCGCTCGCCACGAAGGAGATGGGGGCCATCGGGGGCAGCGCCAGGGTGGGGGATGGGCTCAAGTTGGGCCTGTCCCTCTACAGGAGGAAGATTTAGAAATAGTTCCAAGAAAGTCAGGGGAGGATTTTTTTTGCATTTTTGTTGACAAGTTGGGCAGATTTTTTTATGTTTCGCCCAAAATCCCCCTGTATGGGGACAGGCCCGACTTAAGGATAGGCTCAGGGGGGATGCACCGACCCCCAATCGCCCACTGATCGCCGGCAGGTGCCCGATAGCCCCCTCGCCCAGGAGCGTGCGGATTCGCTATGGGGGGTCTACCGCCGATCTATCATCTATCGGCGACAGATCGCCGTTTTCAGGTCGATGCTCCCCCCCTGAGCCAGTTCCCTTTGTTCGTTCCCTCTCATCGGGGCCGCCAGGAATTTTGGGCATGAGGATCTGCCCCTGGAGAGAGCCCAGATGTCCAGGCTCCGTTTCGGCCAGGACCCGTTCCCCTCATGCTGATGCAGTTGCCCTCCCCCTTACAGGAGGAAGAAGGATCTGCCGATCACCGACTGGGAGATCCAGCTCACATGGATTCGGTACGCGGAGGCGCGACTCAGCCTTCAGCCTTGCTCTGCGGGCAGAGATGGATCGGGAGGATGACTGAAGAGGGAACGAGGCAGGGAGGGATGGCGGGAGATAAAGGAGGAGGAGGAGGAGGAGGAGGAGGAGGAGGAGGAGGAGGAGGAGGAGGAGGAGGAGGAAGACCCTCTCCGGGATCCACCCCCCGCACTCGCCCCCATGCGCTGCGGGGCTCGGCGCGCCTGGGGGGGGGCCTGGCCTTTCACCCACGGCCGTGCCGGCTGTCTGCCCCGCCATGCCAGTTGGCCGCTGGCCGGGGGCGCACGCTGGGGGCTGCGCACCCTCAGGGCGGCTCTCTGCGTCAAGCAGGGGTGCAGTGTCTGCGAAATGTTCTCGGAGCATTTCTGGCTGGGACTGTCTTTTTCTAGCACGTCGGGCCTGTGCTCTGAGAACACTGCTTCTGCTCTTGGAAGATGTCTTGCTTCTAAGAACAGGCGAGCGACACACAAGAGCGGGGTCGTCTGCGCCGGCATGGGCGCGTAAGCTGCCCGCGCAAGGTCTCGCGTGAGCGCTCTCGTCTCCACTGTGGCGTGCCGCGCCGGCGGCCCGCGCATACGACCGCGGCAGGTCGCTTACCAGCTTGTTCGGTGCAAGTATGTCGTCATCGAGGTTCCACACCATTCTTGCCGTGACGTCTATTGCGTGCGACATGCACGACACTTTCGTCGATAGCGACCCGTGCTCCTACGACCTCCAGGGTTATTCTGGCCTCGAGGGCTTCGACGGGCTGCAGGACTACGACAGCCTCCAGGGCTACAGGGACATTTGGAACGTGGAACGCTACGAATGGCCAGCCGACGACCCCGATACGGACCTCGGGGACTACCAGGAGAGCGTTTCCTCGGGGCCCTCAGACGTCCGAAGGCAACACTCAGAGCCACGAGCGCCAGAAGCAGACCAACGAGAGCAACCAGCATAACTACGAGGGCCATCAGCCGAGCTACGAGAACAACCAGCCGAGCCTCGAGGACCACGGGCAGAGCTGCGGGGGCCAGCGGAACTTCGAGTAACACTTCTGGCAGAGCTTAGGGGGCAGCAAGCCGAGCTACGAGGGCAGCACAACGACGCTTATAGGGAAGGGGCTGGCTTCCACTGGCCACCAGCACAACTACGGCAAGAAACGCAGCTTGGGTAGCCACCAGCACAGATACCAGGACCACCAGCGCAGCTGCGACGGCAGGAAGCTGAGCTTGGATATCCACCCGCACATTGGGGACCGCCAGCAGAGCCCCGATGGCCACCATCTGAGTTTGTCGGGTGACTAGCAGGGCTACGACGGCAAGAACAGAGCCTCGAGGATTATTACAAGAGTTTCGAGGGCCACCAGCTGCGCTTCGAGGGCCACCGCTTGAGTTACGAGTGCCACCAGGAGTGCTACGACGCAAGGAGCAGAGCTTAGAGGACCACCCGCAGAGTTACGAGGGCCACCAGCAGAGTTTCGAGAACCAGCGTACCGACGGAGCCACCAGCAGCGCTACGACGGCAGAAAAGGATAGCATCGAGGACTACCAGCAGAGCTACGACGGCCACAAGCAGAGTTGCGAGAACCGCCTGCCGAGCTACGAGAGTCACCAGCAGACCTGCGACGGCAAGAAACGCTTCGAAGGCCTCCAGCAGAGCTGCGACGTTAAGTACGAGGACCACCAGCAAAGCCTCGATGGCTATGCGCCGAGCTACGAGGGCCACCAGCATAACTACGTGGCAACATGGAAAGAAAATTCCAGGTTCAGCAGCTGAGTGACGGGGGTTTCCGGCAGTGCTCTGAGAACCAGCGTTCCGAATGCAATCCGCTGAACTACTAGGGCAACCAGCTGAGTTACGACAGCCACGTGCAGAGCGTCGAGAGCCACCAGCACGGCCACGAGGGCCACCAGCAGAGCCATAAGAGCCACCAGCTAAATGACGAGGACCAGCACCTGTGCTACGGCCGCAACGAGTAACTCCTCGGAGGCCACTAGCTCAGCTACGAGAGCCACCCGCAGACATACGAGGACCATCAGAGGAGCGACGAGGACAGCCACCTGAGCTACGAGAACAACCAGAAGAAGCCAGAGTACCAGACCCAGGTGCCCTGCTCGACCCGTTCAACCTCCGTAACGGAAGGGTTGGGTGCCGAGGGCACGTCCAGCAATACGTACTGGTACCACAGGGCCACGCAGCAGACGCAGTGGACGCCCCCACTACCGAAAAAACGCGGTGCAGCAGGCATCCTCCCTGCCACCAGGCTGGGCCAGCTACCTGGACCAGCCAGGGCGCCGCTATTGCCACCGCGCGACCATGAACATGACGACGTGGACGCCGCCTTGCACCACGCCCACCGATGCACCCCTTCGTAGTTGCTTCAAGAAGCCGCCGCACCACGCATGACTGGTCTGGCCACGCATCCCTACTCTTTTCCCTTGTCCTTCGTTTTGAGCTTCGACGAAGATTTTTCACTCTGGGGATGTATTCTCGATGACGCCCGTGACCAGCCCCGCACCCCTTCTCTCGTGGTCACGTCACGATTCGAGCGGGCGCCATGTCGTAATCAACCAGTCCAATGTATTCCCAGACGGTGTCGGCGCGAATCGTGACTTCACTGGCCCCCTCTCCCGGGTCACGCCCGTGATCGCCAGGGAAGTATATGTTCTCCGTGGGGCAGTTTGGGCGCATTGCAGAAAACCTGTCGTGTTTTGTGGTGCCGTCCTGGGCGGGCCCCGGGTCCGCTGGAGGCCGTCCAGCTTGACGCCCCCCCGATCTGGCGAGGCCAACGCTTGTGCATTCAGATGCGCGTCTCGTATTTTTTACGAGTTTTCGTTTTGGTTTGCAGTTGATGCGAGCAATCAGGGAACACTTCTTGCTCCTCTCCTCTATTCGCCTCTCCTCCTTTCATCCTTCCTCACCTCCTCTCGCCTGTCTCCTCCTGATGTCCCCCTCCCTCTGCTGGCCCCTACCCCGCTTCCCCCGCCCCCGAGTCACACATCAGCCGTGTGGATGTTTCGCAGGCGTAGTCCCAGACAACTCCGCGTGCCCATCCCGGGGCCAACCCTTTCATCCGAAATAGTTGTTTGGCGGCCCCACGGCCTGAGACTTGGCCCCAGACAGCGAAACATTTGCCGCCTCGACGGGGTTCCTTGCTTGGGTTCCGTCGCTTGAGAGAAACATAACTCAGAGGTCCTCGGGGTTCCTCGGGTTCCTCGTCCAGGTTCCTTGCTTTGGTTCCTCTGCATTCCTCCCGGTCCCACATGCAATGCCTAGCAGTGTTCCGCAATGTTTAGCACTGCCAAGCAATGCCAAGCACCGCCAATCGATGCCAGACATTGCCAAGCAATGCCACCCTGCGCAAAGCAATGCCAAGAATATTCCATCAAGGCCAAGCAATGCGCCCAAGCGGCGGGCATGTTATGAATGGTGTTCCCTCCGCCGCGCTGGTCCAACTCCAGGACCGGCGCTTTGCCCCCGCCGTCCAGAATGGCACCGTCGCCCAAGCGCGGGCCACATCTCTGGATCTGACTCCCTCCTCGTCTATGTGACCCGGGTTTCTTAATAAGCGTGTATGGGGTACCCCCCGACGGGGGTCAACCTCGCCTCGTCGTCGCGCCACGATGGGGGTCGGAGCGCTTTCGGCGCGCGGTGGCTGCCCGCGACGGGGGTGGATGTGGCGCTGTCGGCGGGGGTGACGCCCCCCCGACGCTTATTATGGAACTGGGAGTAGTACCCCCCTCCTTTCCCCTCCTCCGCCTTCCCGTAGTCTCCGTGCTCCTCCCGCTCCTCCTGCCTCCTGGTCCTGCTGCTGCTTCTCCTCCTCCTTCTCCTCCTCCTCCTCATCCTCATCCTCCCTGATCCTTTCCTTCCTTCTGCTTTGTCCTCATGCGCAGTCGCCACATCCTCCCCCTCCTCCTCCTGCTCTTCCAATGTACAGAGCTCGCCTATCTGACTTCGCAGCACACGAATGGGCCCTTTCGGGGATCCAGGTCCGCTAGGTCACCCATTGGCGGGTCGATGAATTCAGTGCAAGGGGAGGTATGCGCGGGAGGGGCGGGATGTCAGATATGGCGCGCACGCGCCTAGCTCGTCTTTTCCCTTCCCCTCCTCCTCCTCCTCCTCCTCCTCCTCCTCCTCCTCCTCATCATCATCATCATCATCATCATCATCATCATCATCATCCACCTCCTCCTCCCCCTCCTCCCCCTCCCCTTCCTCCTCCTCCTCCTCCTCCTCCTCCTCCCTCTCCTCCTCGACCGCAGTGTTGCCGAATACGTATGCCCTCGCGGCCGACCTGGCTCGTCGTCTCCGCTGGAGCCCAGCCAGGCCGATCGGCGGCCATCGTTGGTGCATGGCCGCCCGGCGCGTGCCATGCGGGCATGGCGGGCGGCGCTGGCGCTCGGCGCCGCAGCGGTGCCCAGGGAGTCGCCGTGGTTCGACCCGGAGGTGCACGTGCCAGACATGTCGGAGTCCGAGGCTGTGCCGCAGCGGGATCGCAGGTTAGGGTGCAAACTCGCGGGAGGTTACATTCAGCATCGGCGCTGCGCTGATATGTCTGCGGACGAAGCTGCCTAATCCGAAAGAGTTCCGTTGCAATGTGCTCAATCCCGGTCGATCCGGCTTAGTCCCGTGCCCGTCTGATCCGGCCGAGTGGCCCTCTTCTCGGGCTCAACAGCCCCGAAGGATCGTTCTTACGAAGACCTCCCCCATACATTGCCTCCTGGCGCAGGGAGTCCGAGAAGGGCTGCCACTGGACCGCGCGCCTGCAGATGCAGCTCTGTGGCGGCGGCGGGTGCCACGACGCCGAGATTCTGGCCTTCGACTTCCAGGCGCGCGCGTGGGCCTTCTACGAGTCTGCAAATTCGAGTAGGGGATCGATTACAGCATCGATTCACCCTTAGCTTTATTTGCCCGTCGAATCTGCAAGCGAGTGTGTACGTGAAATCTTTGCAGCTCTGCGAATACCAAGCAGTTTTCTTTCTCGCAGTTGGGACGAACAAGTCAGTTTTTGGGGTACATCGATTCCGTAGTCGATCCCCCACTCGACGAATGGGAGCCTGCCGGCCACGGCTGCGGCCTCGGCGGTGGCGCCCCCGCTGGAGGAGGCGGCCTGGATCGCCACGATGCCCCGGGAGGAGCTCCTCGGCGCGCTCGAGCTGTGCCCAGGCCTCGTCGCGGAGGGGGGCGCCCGTCGAGACAGCGGCAGCCCCTGCGTTTCTCGTTCTTCGGGGGGAGGAGGAGGATCTGGGCCTCCTGGACGGGGGCGGAGCAGATGGGGTCGGAGAGTCGCGCCGCATCGCCGATGCATCGCCGATGCGGCTCGATGTGGAGCCCGATGGGCTTCACGTCGACGTCGCCGATGCATCGCCCACGTCGACGATGCATCGCCGATGCATCGCCGATGCATCGCCGATGCATCGCCGATGTATCGGCGATGCGGCTCGATCCTCCGACCCTATCCGCTCCGACCCCATCCAGGAGGCCTCTATAGGAGGAGGAGGAGGATGAGGAGGAGGAGGAGGAGGGGAGGGGGAGGAGGGGGAGGAGGAGGTGGATGATGATGATGATGATGATGATGATGATGATGATGATGATGATGATGATGATGGTGATGGTGATGGTGATGGTGATGATGATGCTGATGTGTGATGCTGATGATGATGGTGATGATGATGCTGCTGATGCTGATGCTGATGCTGATGATGCTGATGCTGATGATGATGATGATGATGATTGTGATGATGCTGATGATGATGATGATGATGATGATGATGATGTGATGATGCTGATGATGATGATGATGATGATGATGATGCTGATGGTGATGATGATGATGATGATGTGGATGAGGATGCTGATGCTGATGATGATGCTGATGCTGATGCTGATGTGATGATGATGATGATGATGATGATGATGATGATGAGGATGAGGATGATGATGATGATGAGGATGAGGATGATGAGGATGATGTGATGATGATGATGATGATGATGATGATGATGATGATGATGATGCTGATGCTGATGATGATGCTGGATGATGATGTGCTGATGTGATGATGATGATGATGTGATGCTGCTGCTGATGATGATGATGCTGATGATGATGATGATGATGATGATGATGATGCTGCTGATGATGATGATGAAGATGAAGATGAAGATGATGATGATGATGATGATGATGATGATGATGATGATGATGATGATGATGATGATGATGATGATGATGATGATGATGATGATGATGATGATGATGATGATGATGATGATGATGATGATGATGATGATGATGATGATGATGATGATGATGATGATGATGAGGATGAGGAGGAGGAGGAGGAGGAGGAGGAGAGGAGGAGGAGGAGGAGGAGAAGGAGGAGGAGGAGGAGGAGGGGGAGAAGGCGGAGGATGAGGAGGAGGAGGAGGAGGCGGAGGTGGCGGATAAGGCGGAGGTGGCGAAGGAGGCGGAGGAGGAGCAGGCGGAGGCGGAGGCGGAGGGCGGAGGCGGAGGAGGCGGAGGAGGTGGCGGCGGCGGAGGAGGAGGAGGAGGATGGTGAGGGGGAGGGGGAGGGGGAGGGGGAGCTGGAGCAGGAGGAGGAGGAGAAGGAGGAGGAGGAGGCGGATGAGGAGGATGAGGCGGAGGAGGAGAAGGAGGCGGAAAAGACAAGGAGGCGGAGGAGGAGGCGGAGGAGGAGGCGGAGGAGGAGGCGGAGGAGGAGGAGGCGGAGGAGCAGGAGGCGGAGGAGGGGAACGATGAGAGAGGGTCCTCTTGGCGGCGTCTCGTCGCCACGGCTGGATCCTCATCGGACAATGGTTGAGGATGCACCGAGCGAGGGGTCTGGTCGGAAATCGGAACATAGATTCGAATGATCTAGAACGGCATATACATAAACTTTCGACGCTCCGCGCAGAGCGCCAAAAGGTTATGTTTACGCATGTGTGCTTATTCTAAGGAAGGGTCAGGTCGGACACTGTAACATATACATTGCCAGTGGCGGGCTGTCTGTTAATCCCCAAACTTTTTGTGGGTCGGGGATGACGTCGGGGTGGTGTGGTATATATTATTTCTGTCTCCCAACCATCCTGTGGTGTTTGGGTCTTTGTTTTGAAGAGAGAGCGCCCCGCGTCTCCTCTCCTCCTCGTCTTCCCCCTCCTCCCCCTCCTCCCTCCTCCCATCCCTGCCTCTCCTCTCCGCGTGCCGTCCTCACGATCATTATCGTGATCTTCACTGTAATCACCATCGCCATCATCGGCGTCATTAACATCGCCAACGTCAGCGTCGTGACTTTGTTCTCCGCATGTCCATTTCGGCACACCGCTCACACGGTTCGCGGCCCCACAGGGAGCTCCACCCAAGGCCCCAGTGGCAGGGTCCGCATGCGTCCCCCCGGCCAGTTTGGCACACCCCTCACGCGGTTCGTGGCCCCATAGGGAGCTCCGCCGAATGCCCCAGTGGCAGGGTCCGCATGCGTCCCCCCGCCCAGTTTGGCACACCCCTCACGCGGTTCGTGGCCCCATAGGTAGCTCCACCGAAGGCCCCAGTGGCAGGGTCCGCATGCGTCCCCCCGCTCACTTTGGCACACCCCTCACACGGTTCGTGGCCCCATAGGGAGCTCCACCGAAGGCCCCAGTGGCAGTGTCCGCATGCGTCCCCCCGGCCATTTCGGCGCACCCCTCACGAGAATCGTGGCCTCATAGGGAGCTCCATCTAAGGCCCCACTGGCAGGGTCCGCATGCGTCCCCCCGCTCACTTTGGCACACCCCTTGCGTCCCCCCGCCCACTTTGGCACACCCCTCACACGATTCGTGGCCCACTGGGGAGCTCCACCGAAGGCCCCAGTGGCAGTGTCCGCATGCGTCCCCCGCCCACTTTCGCACACCGATTCGCGGCCCCATAGGGAGCTCCACCGAAGGCCCCAGTGGCAGGGTTCGCATGCGTCCCCCCGCTCATTTTGGCACACCCCACGCACGGTATGGGGAGGCTCGACGTGCGAGGTGCAACTGCAGCCGCCCAGGCGAGTTCCGTCAATAAGGACAGCTGCGCAAAACATCAGGCAGTCCCTGTAACTCGCCTCACTTTCAGGCCGCTGAGGTCTGAACATTGGGGAAGTATGAGGCGGGAGCCTCTCCTGTGAGTCGATTGTGGGTCGCCTCGTCCGAGCTGGTCGCCGGAGTAGTTGTTACTGTCATGGGCCCGCGTGCCCGAAAGGGCGATTCAGGAGCTGACGACGACGACGAGACAGCGGCCAGGCGCAGGGGTAACCTCTTGTGTCCGGGCCGGGGGTAGTAACCCATCATCGGCCGAATCGGGGGGAGGGGTAACCCCTTGTCTCTGGGCCGCCGGTGGTAACCCGTCGGCGGCCGAATCGGGCGCAGGGGTAGCCCCTTGCGTCCGGGCTGGGGGTGGTAATCCATCCTCGGCTGAATCGGGGGCAGGGGTAAGGAAACCCAGAAAAAAACTGGAAACCAGAGAGAATGCCCACGCAACGGAAACAGGGAGAGGGACGAGAGAGAGAGAGAGAGATAGAGCGAAGGATAGAGAAAGAGAGAGAGAGATGAGACGGGACAAACATTTGGACAAAATGGTGGCGCAGGCGGCTCGCCTTGTTTCAGGCCTGGCAAGCTTGCGCGCGACAGGGGGCAGAGAGAGAGAGAGAGATGGAGAGAAGGATGAAGGCGGGAAGAAACAGGAGAGAAAGTGGCGGCGCAGGGGGCCTGCATCATTTCATTCCAGGCAGGCAAACGCGCGACGAAAACAGAAAGAGAGAGAGAGAGAGGATAAGGATAACGAACTGGGAAGAACATGGAGACAACACCGCCGCGTACGGGGCTTGGGCCACCGCGGGCTAGGTGGTTAGGACGGCAGCATGCTGCGGAAACAGGGAGAGAGGAGAATGAGACGGGAAGAGCATGGAGACAAAACGGCGCACGGGGCTCAGGCCAAAGCAAGAAACCAAGAATGCCCACGCAACGGAAACAGGGAGAGAGGAGAATGAGTTGGAAGCACACTGGATACAAAACGGCCGCGCCAGAGAACAAGAATGCAACGCGCAACGGAAACAGGGAGAGAGAGAGGATCATCAGCTGGGAAAACATGGAGACAAAACGGCCGCGCAAGGGGCGCAGGCCAAATCGAGGAAACAAACGTGCCACACGCAACGGAAACACACAGGGAGAGGAGAATACGCGGGGAAGGCAGTCAAGGCAAGACGGCCACGCACGGGGCTCGGGCCACCGCGGGCCCCCCTTCTCCGTCTCACAAGGGCTCCCTCGAGGGCGCGAAGTTATTCGCGCTTCGCGCTTCGCGGTCCTCGTTCCTTCTCCCCCTCCTCCTCGTCCTCCTCTTCTCCCCCTTGGGGGGCGGCGCGAGAGCGCGAAGTTATTCGCGCTTCGCGCTTCGCGCAGCGCGAAGCGCGAAGTTGGGAGCCCTAGGTCTCATGTCCTTGGCGGTACTCACGTCTGCACATGGTTTGGTCCTTCGTCAGGCTAATTTTTCGTGTTCCCTGGGTAGCAACGAAAAGTGTACACACTAGGATCCGTGTACACCAGGACCTGCTTTCGTGTGCGAGGTTCCGTGCGGGGCCAGAGAAGCCTCGGTGTGCAGAGTTCGGCTCTTTCCCTGGGAACCGATTTTTCGTGGAACTGGGCCAGGCGCGAGCGCCGCCGTCGTCTCAACTGGCCCTCCTCCGATCGTCATCACCGCGCTGCTGCTGCACGCGGAGGTCACCTCCTTTGCCTTCTCGGCTCCGGAGCCGCGGGACGCGCTGGACACGGCCAAGTCATACATTCGAAGGAGAAAGAGCTGCACAAACAGAGGCTCTCGGAGGCCCGCGCGGATTCCTTGGATCGCCCGCCGCTGGGCCCCTTCCGCGCGCCAGTGGCTGCGCTGCATGCGCCGCCAGGGAGGCTCAGCGCCGATCCAAGTAATCCGCGCGGACCTCCGACAGTTTATGCTTGTGCTGGTGCTCCCTCCTCTGCACATGCAGTGGCTGTACGTCAGCGACCCGGACGAGTTCGGCGCGCTCACCGACATTCGTGTGCTGCTAAAGGTACCCCATGGTCCAAGGCGCCCGCGCCGTTTTGGAGCCCGAGGGGCCCTCTACGCCTTCTCGTGCGGGGTTCTCCAGACACCGTGGGCGCCTCCTCTCTTCGAGAATGAAAGACCCCCTGGCCCTGATAACACAATTACACCAGAGAGAAACCCCAATCAGTGGATGGTTTGATGAGATCGATGCTGAGATCGATTGGGTGAGATGAATAGTGAGATCGATCATGAGATCGATAATGAATCGTGGGATCGATAAACAGATCGATCAAGAGATCGACGGGGAACCCGGGAACCTGGGAACCCGGAACCCACCGAAATCGGCCCGGAACCAAGGACCGGGAACCCGGGAACCCGGATCCCGGAACCCGGGAACCCAGCCTGCTACCAAATTCGGCGGGAAACTTTCGCCCAACCTCTCAACTTCCGCTAGGGACCCCAAGCAGTGCAAGTTCTGACTGGGGAATGATGGCGAAGCCTAACTCAGGCCCCCGTCTTTTTGCACCAGGGCTTATCCATCTGGGTGGCTTTGGTCCGGTGCATCTGCCGAGATGGAGCCCATGTGCACGATCCCTGATGCTCGGGGCTTCTTCGCCCGGGCCCGCCCCCGAAGGGTGGCGGCGCCCTCGGCTGCTCCTCGCCCTCGGCAGTCGCGGTGGCGCCTCGGGCGAGGGGCGCTCCTGGCAGCACCCGAGGCGTGTGGCCCGTGCTGGCCGGCCAGGCCCGGGCGCAGGCCGCGCGGGACGGGGCGCGGGCGCCGCGCCGGGCGCCGCCGCCGTCGGTGGACCTCGTGGTGGCCCGCTGCAGCACCACGCTGCGGTGGCTGTGGTCGCTGCCGCTGCCGCCGCGGACGAGGATCTCAGGAGGAGGCAAAAGGGATCTCCGAGGAGGCCCCCCCCCTCCTCCTCCTCTCCTCCTCCTGTCGCCTCTCCTCCTCCTCCTCCTCCTCCTCCTCCTCCTCCTCCCTCTCCTCCTCTCTCCTCTCTCGTCCTCCTCCTCCTCCTCCTCCTCCTTCTCCTCCTCCCCCCTCTCCTCCTCTCTCCTCTCTCGTCCTCCTCCTCCTTCCTCCTTCTTCTCCTCCTTCCTTCCTCCTCTTCCTCCTCCTCCTCCTCCTCCTCCTCCGCCTCCTCCTCCTCCTCCTCCTCCTCCTCCTCCTCCTCTCTCTTCCTCCTCCTGCTCCTCCTCCTCCTACAGTAGATTTGCGTCGTGCCGACCGGCGGCGACCCCGCCGCCAGCGTTCAACGGTGAACGCCGCCGGCGACCCAGCATCGGTCGATGTTAAACGGTCCGACGCTTCCGAAGCGGCCGATCGTGTAAGGTCGAACGATCCCCGCTGTGTCAGAAGCCAGCGCCGAAGTCGGCGCGCCACGAATTTGCCGCACCTCTACCCTGGCCTCGTTTTTTGGCATCTCTGGGCCTCCTGGGAGGCCCTCTTCGCACGCGGCTGGTTTCGCCTCGATGTCCTGCCCAGACACATCGTCGATCCCCAGGAACATCTGGGAAACCATGTGATGTGGTGGGGGGGAGACGAAAACCCAGAACATATGGGAACCTATAGGGAATCCTGGGATCTGTGTGTGCATTTCTTTGTGTGTCCCTGGGCCCCTTTCAGAGCGCACCCGGGGAGATGCCCGGGGGTTGGCGGTCTCGGTGCTCCCTCTCGGCTCCCCCGGAGGATCGTCGTGTACAGCAAGTGCGACCGCCCTGCGGACGAGCTTCAGAAGCAGCTCGCGGGGCTGGCCGGCAAGGTGAGCGACGGGAGAACACGGGGTCGTTTGCACGGATATTCGAGCGTAAGCTTCCCGCGTCAGTAGGGGGCCACACGCGAATTTTACTTCTACCCCCCACGATTTCTGAGGGGGAGGGTGGGGTTCACTTCGCTCGGGAGTTCTCGAACGAAGTGAACCCCACCCTCCCCCTCAGAACTCGTGGGGGGTAGGGGTAGGGTTCGCATGTGGCCCCCTTGTAAGGTCGCGCGTGACCGCCCTCTTCGTCACGCGTAAGACTCGCCTCTTTTTTCTCGCTCAGGTCGAGGAGGTGGTCGAGGTGCCGCTGCGCGATACGGGCGCCTACATGACCGGGGAGTGCAGCGCCTACCTGCAGCATATCCTGGGCGCCCGCGGGGACCCGGCTGACTTCACCGTCTTCCTGCACGACGATGCCCCAAGGCACCTGAAGCCAGGCTTCCTGTCGATCGTGCTGCGCGCGCTGAGCCTGGGCACCTACGAGGTGCCGTTTCTCAACCTGGCCCACGAGCCAGGAGAAGAAGCAGGGACATCTGAGCATGAGCTTTCGGAGACCCGCGCGGACTTGTCGGATCGACGCTGGACCTCCCCTGCCACTGGCGCGCAGAGCGCCCCAGGAGCGCGCTGGGGCGGCGCTGGAGGCGCCGCCAGGGTGGGGGGGCAAGCGCCGATCCGAGAACTCCGCGCGGATCGCCGAAGGGTTGTGCTCGTGCTGCCTGCGCTCTTCTCCTGCGAGCGCTACGTCGCCGCGGCCACGCCGTGCCTCAGGCTGGGGATGCCAAGAGGGAACCGACAGCGCTGTTCCCTGGACCTCCCCCGGGGTGCGTTTTGGCTAGGATTTCGAGGATAATCCACCCGTGGCGACGAGGGCCTCCCAGGAGGCCCAAACAGGCGAAAACGAGGCAAAGGCAGCCGTGTCTTAGGATGCAACTGGTGGGAGGTTAAGTTCAGAATCGGCGCTGGTTATCCTTAGTCGAAAACCGGCCCACTCTGGCTGAATCCCAGCTTATCTGGCTAAAATCCAGCGCAATTTGGTTGAATCCCGCTTGATATGGCTTTTTTCTTGGTCTCTTTCCGGCCTGATCCTTCTCAATGGCCCCATCATCGAGCTTCATAGCCTTTCGTCGTTCTTACGAAGACTTGCTCGGAGTTGCTTCCTAATGTCTCGGTGCGCAGCACCTCGCTATTTGGGATAAGAGTGAGGGGGCGGGTGAGGGCTGTGTCGCGGGTTGGTCGCGGGTGGGTCGTGGGGTGTGTCGTTGGGTGGGTCGCGGGCGGGTCACGGGCGGGTCGCGGGCGAGGACGACGACGAGGACGACGACGACGGCGACGACGGCGACGACGACGATGACGACGACAGCAACAACACCAACAACACCAGTCATTTTAAGACTGTTCGATCTTATCTGCCCGCGTGCGAATGCCCCAAGTCCTCGATACCCGCCCTCTTCGTCTTCGACAACCCCCTTGTAGGTATATCTTTCTTACCTGCAACGTGTATTACGTGCAGCAGCTAACGCATGGGAAGAGAGGACGGACGGAAGGAAGGGACAAGGGGGAGGGAGGAGGATGGGGCACGAGAGAGAGAGAGAGAGAGTAGCAGGAGAGGGGGCTAGGAGCAGAAAACACGTGGCAGAACCAGACGGGCGGATCGGGCGGGCAGACCCCAGCGGGCGGGTCGGGAAGGCAGGCACAGGCGGCCAGGTCGAGCACGCGGTTCGCTTCAGCGTGCGTCCTTGCAGGGAATCGCGAGGAAGAGTCTCGAGCGATAATTCGCGCGATCTCCACATACATCGCGAGAAAGACCAACGCGAGGGCGTGATTTCTGAGTGTCGAGAGCGCGGAGTCTGAATAGATTGCGAGGGGCTCCCGCACGAGAGCGCGAGTCCTGGATAAGTTGTAAGGAAATCCCGCGCGAGAGGGCGTTTGTGGAATACATTGTGAGGAAGTGTCCGGCGGGAGCCGTTGTTGTTGTAACTCGGGGGCCAGGGGCCCAGTTTGGTGACACCTCATTTTCTTTTGTACACAACAGGGTGTGAGCCCCAGGAAAAGCAGTTGAATTGAAACATAGGATGGTTACTTGGCAGGGGGGACCAACAGCAGTTGTTCTTTAGATCTGAGAGCTCAACAACAACAGCAACACACACAACAACCGCAGCGGCAACAACAGCAGTAACACCACCACCAGCAACACCACCAATTAACAACACTCAATCTTGTTCGCTCCTATCTGCTCGCGTGCCCCTGAAAGAGTATATTCGAAACCCACAGTACCCGCCCTCTTCGTCTTCGATCGTAACCCCTTGGGGGTTTATCGTCCTTACCTATTATCGTCCTTACCTACCACTTGCCTTTATCGCAACCCTTACAACAGGGGAGGAGCGGACGGATTGAATGGGAGAGGGGGACGGATAGAGCACGAGAGAACTTAGCAGAAGGGGGATCGGAGCAGAAAGCTCGTGGCAGAACCAGACGGGCAGATCGGACGGGCAGACCCCATCGGGCAGGTCGGGAAGACGGGCCCAGGCGGCAGGTCGAGCTGGCAGGTTGCTGAAGCGTGCGTCCTGCACGAATCGCGAGGAAGGGTCTCGAGCGATAGCGCGATCCCCAAGTACATCGTGAGGAAGGCCAAAGCGAGTGCTTGATACCCGAGTGTCGAGGGCGCGGCGTTTGAATACATTGCGGGGAAGTCCCACGCGAGAGCGCGATTCCTGCATAAGTTGTGAGGAAGTCCCGCGCCAGAGCGCGATTGTGGAGTACATTGTGAGAATAGTATCAGGCAAGAACCGTGTTGAAATTTCATTTTGAACAAGTAATTATTGTTGATCTCCCTCCAGGATGCATTGTGTTTTCAATTAAAGTGTTCCTTCCTGGGCCCGCGCCCTGTTTTTGTTACAAGGGGAAGTGAGGAGTCACTGAACTAGGCTCTTGGCCCCCGAGTTACATCAACACCGGCTCCCGCCGAATATTCGTTCGCAGTTTATTATTCTCACCTCGCGCTCTCTCGCCAGACTTCCTCACAATTTATTCAAGAATCGCGTTGTCGCGCGGGACTTCCTTGCAATTTATTCAGACGCCGCGCCCTCGACGCTCAGGAATCACGCTCTCGCTTTGGATTTCTTCACGGTTTATTTGGGAATCGCGCTATCGGTCGCACATCCTTGCGATTCGTGCAGGACCCACGCCTCAGCAATCCGCTTGTTCGACCTGGCCGCCTGAGCCCGCCTTCCCCGCCCGCTTGTTAGGGTGTATCCGCCCGATCTGCCCGTATGGTTCTGCCACGTGTTTTCCCCTTCCAGGTAATTTCTCTTGTGTTCCATCGTCTTCTTTCCCCCTTGTTCCTTCCTTCCGTCCGTCCTTGTTCCCCTGTTTCAGGGGCTGCAGGAAGTACACGTTGCAGATCATTTGCGTACAAATGTATGTATGTATGCATGCATGCATGCATGTATGTATGTATGTATGTATGTATGTATGTATGTATGTATATATGTATGTATGTATGTATGTATTTATGTATGTATGTATGTATGTATGTATGTATGTATGTATATATGTATGTATGTACGTATGCATGCATGTATGTATGTATGTATGTATGTATGTATGTATGTATGTATGTGTATATGTGTGTGTGTATCTATGTATGCATGCATGTATGTATCTATGTATGTATGTATGTGTATATATATATATATTTATTCTCAAGGGGGTACGAACGAAGACGAGGAGGGTGGGCATCGAGGATTTTGGATATACATGTTGAACGTCACACGAACAGATAAGAGCAAACAATCTTGAAATGATTGTTGTTGAGTTCTAATGTATGAAGTAATTATTGTTGATCCCTCCCATTCCGTGACACATTCCAGATTACAAGTAAAGTGCTCTTCCCGGGGCTCGCACCATTTTCGCATTCTGCTCTCGTGCGGGGCGTCCTCACACGTTATGCAGGAATCGCGCTCTTGCGTGGGACTTTGTGCAATTTGTTCAGGCGCCGCGCCCTCGACACTCAGGAATCGCGCTCTCGCTGTGGCCTTTCTTTCGATTTACTTCCGAATCGCACTATCACTCGAGACTTCCTTGCGATTCGTCCAACATTTACGCTTCAGCAACCCGCGTGCTCGACCTGGCTGCTTGGGCCCGCCTTCCTGACCCGCCCGTTAGGCTCGACCCGCCCGATCTGCCCGTTGGGTTTTGCCACGTGTTTGCTTCTCCTAGACCCCCTCCTGCAAATCCCGTGCTCCATCCTTTTCCCTCCCTCTTCCATCTGTCTTCCCCTCCCCTGTTTCAGGTGCTGCGCCAATACGCACGGCAGTAAGGAAGATGTACCCCCCAAGGGGTATCATCGAAGACGAAGAGGGCGGGTACTACCGAGGGTTTGGGATATACGGTTGAATGGAATGAAAACAGATCAGAGCGAACAGTCTCAACATGGCTGTTATCGAACTCTCACGATTACCTACTAATTATTGTTCACCCCCCCTCTGGTGACCATTGTGTTTTTTTCAATTGAAGTGCTTCCCCAGGGGCTCGCACCCTGTTTTTTTATCAGGGGAACCTCCCCTGACAAAAGTGGGCCCAACGTGGGCCCCTGGCCCAAAGGGGGCCCCAAGTGGGCCCCAAAGTGGGCCCCAAGTCACTGGGCCACTGGGCCCAAAGTGGGCCCTTGGCCCCTGGTTTACATCAACAGCGGCTCCCGCTTGATACTTTCTCACACTTGATTCCCAAATCGCGCTCTCGCGCGGGACTTCCTCACAATTCATGTACGCATCGCGCTCTCGCGTGGGCTTCCTCTCAATTTATTCAGTTGATGCGCCCTCGTCGCTCAGGAATCAAGCTCTCGCTTTGGCTTTTCAGACGATCTACTTGGGAATCGCGCTATCGCTTGAGACTTCCTCGTGCTTCATGCAGGACCCACGCTTCAGCAAGCCGCCTGGTCGACCTGGTCGTATGGGCCCGCCTTTCCGACCTGCCCGCTACGGGTCTGCTCACCCGATCTGCCCGTCTGGTCCTTGTCCCCCTCCTGTTAATTTCTCTTGTGCTTCATTCTTCTCCCTCCCCGTTCCACCCGTCATCCCTTTCCTTGTTTTAGGGATTGCACTAAATGCACGTGGCAAGGAAGTTATACCCCGAGGGGGGTACGATCGAAGACGAGGGTGGGTACCGAGGGTTTGAGATATACCTGTTGACTGGCACGTTTGAGCAGAGAGGAGCGAACAGTCTTAACATTGTTGCTGTTGCTGCTGCTGCTGTTGTTGTTGTGGTTGTTGTTGTTGTTGTTGTTTTTGTTGTTGTTGTTGTTGTTGTTGTTGTGGTTGTTGTTGTTGTTGTTGAACATTATTAATTCTAAAGAATAATTATTGCTGGGACCCCTGGTGCACGGCCCCCCTGCGCCGCCTAGGCCGCAGCTACATTTTCATCATTTTCGTGAGGAAGCCTCAGGTAATACGATGTCATCAAGATCCGGTTGTTTTGTTGTAATCCGTTTTCCCTTGCAAAAAACACTATAAAATGACATTTCTTGTTCTAATATAATCAAATTTCAAGAATCCCTTGCAAAAAATAAGGTAAAGTGGACATTCGCGCGCGCAAGACGAAATCCTTCCAAAAGCTTAGTGTTCGGAGCGATTTTAACATAAAAACATCAAAAAACCAATGGTTTTTCAACAAAAAAATGTCAAAATCTCATCCCGCGCGCTCTTGCGGATTCGTAGGAAAACCAACACTTTTTAAACATTTCTGTCAAACGGGCTTTTGCGAGCAACTTTTTCGAACTTCTGCGACAACGGTTGCGCACCTGCCAGGGCCATCATCCCTGTCAAATAATACCATGCGGGACACATTCGTTTTTTCTTCGCGCGCGCACGCCGAAATCTCCAAAAACCATTGGGTTCTTAAGAATTTTAGCACCGCGCATCATAAAATCACACGAATCGCACCGTAGGTCCTCGAAAAACACCTGCACGACTTTTCTGTGGGTGTACGAACGTAGGCTTAACAACTTCTGTGGGTGTGTACTCCACGCCAGTGTAGTAGCCACGGTCGTCCGCAGGCCACGAAGTGAAGTGTCCGAACGTCATAGGGCGGGAAGCTGGGTGTGGGTGGTGGCGAAGAGTCGTGTGGATATTTGGTAGAGCTTGCACTGCCCCCCCACAAAGTGGGGGTATTGGCTGGCGTCGCATGAAAACCCTGGCACTGGTGAGAACACTGAGCGTTCGGGTAAAGTGATTGTTGATGTTGTTGTTGTTGTTGTTGTTGGTTGTGGTTGTTGTTGTTGTTGTTGTTGTTGTTGTTGTTGTTGTTGTTGTTGTTGTCGTTGTTGTTGCTGTTGCTGTTGAATGTTAATGACGAAACAATTATTATTGTGTGACACCCGAAAGGCGCTCTGGCGCTCTCGCCTGGGCGCCGGCTATATTTTTTTCATCGGAAATGAGGCTCACGCTCGAGCGGTTTGGGGGACCGCCCAAACCGGCCCCCCAACAACAACAACGCTCCCGCTCGAGACATCCTCCCTTTTTACTCAGGGCTGGTGTTCTTGCTCGCATCCGAAAGCCGCCGTCCTAACAAAACCAGCGCTCCCGCTCGAGACATCCTCCCGTTTTACCTTGGACTGGCGCGCTAGTCTTTTTCTCATCGGCGCCGCCCCCAGCAAAAACAACGCTCCCGCTCGAGGCTTCCCCCTTGTTTACTCAAGGGGGTCTTCCTCCTCGCCGCCGAAAACCGCCGCCCCGACAAAACCAGCGCTCCCGCCCGAGTTTCCTTGCGTTTTACGCTGGACTGGCGCCCTACTCTCGTTTGAATTGGCGCCGCTCCCAGCAAGAACAACGCTCCCGCTCGAGATGTTCTTTCTTTTTCCTGAAGACGGTGCTGTTCCTCGCCGCCGTCAACCCCCGTCCCGACAAAACCACGGCTCCCGCTCGATGCTTCCTCCCTTCTTACTCAAGGCGGTGTTCCTCCTCGCCGCCGAAAGCCGCCGTCCCAACAACACCAGCGTTCCCGCTCGAGACTTTGTTTTGTTTTACGCTGGACTAGCGCCCTACTCTCTTCAGCATTGGCGCCGCTCCCAACAACAACAGCAACCCTGCTCGCGACAGCCCCAGCGCCGACAGCCCCCATCCCCACCGCCGACAGCCCCCATCCCCACCAAGGCACTCCTGTCGTTTGATACTTCCTTGTGCTTTACCCTTCGCTGGGGTTCCACTGGCGGTCTCGCATCGGCGCAGCAAGGCGCGGGCATGTGTTTTCGAGGCAGGAATTGTTGAAGTTCCTCGGAGGAGGTGTTTGTAAGACCTCATTGGGCGGGAGATCTGGGAATCGGTACGGACCCTGCTATAGAACAATAGTCCCCCATTGCGTGGATGATTCTCATGATGGTCTCTTGCTTCGTGTGGAAACATCGCGCATGAGGTTAACATGATTGTTGTTGTTGTTGCTGTTGCTGTTGCTGTTGTTGTTGCTGTTGTTGTTGTTGTTGTTGTTGAACCTTCATTTCTGATGAAGAAGAAATGTTGTTGATCCCCCTCACTGGTACATATTGTTTTTTTCTCAGTCAAAGTGTGCCCCTCGACGCTCGCACCCTGTTGCTTTGACAGGGAAAGTCTCCCTGGTCAAACTGCGCCCCTGGCCCCCCAGACTACAACAACAACTGCTCCCGCCTGAGATTTCCTCCAATTTACTCAGGGACGGCGCTGTCGCTTGAGACTTCATCATAATGTAGTCTGGGTCAAATTGCGTTGTTGCTCCCCCGAACAACAACGGCTCCCGCATGAGCATTCTCTTCTAACTTTACTCAGGACCCCCGCTCCCGCCTGAGACGTCTTCCCAATTTACTCAGGATCGGCGCTGCCGCCTGTGACTTCCTCGCAATTTAGTCAGGACCCCCCCTCCCGTCTGATACTTCTTTACAATTTACTCAAAAACGGCGCTCCCGCTTAAGATCTCCTTGCGCTTTAGTCTAGACCGCTGATTATGGCGCGACCCATGGCGAAGCCTTTGTTAACCTGTGTTTGAATGGCTGGCGCAAGCCATGGCGCAAGCTAAATCGCAACTCGCGGCACAGATCATCGTCGTCCCTCCCTCCTGCCCCTCTAACCCCTTCCTTCCTCCGATCCCTTCCTCCGATCCCTTTCGTTTCCTTGTTTAGGGGCTTCTCCAATTACACGTGGCCAGGAAGGCATATAACCCCCCAAAAGGGGGTACGCTCGAAGACGAAGAGGGCGGGTATCCAGGGTCGAGGATGTGCGTAGTGAATGACACGCGGGCAGGTAGGAGCGAACAGTCTTGGAATGATTGTTCTTGTTGGTGGTGAGTTTTCATTACTAAGGAGTAATTATCGTGGATCCCCCCCTCCGGGGCACATGGTGTTTTTTTCAGTTGAAGTGCTCTTTCCGTGGCTCGCGCTCTGTTGTTTTATCAGGGAAAGTCTCTGGTATCAGAATTGGGCCCGCGGCCCCTGAGTTGCAACAACAACGGCCTCCGCCCGATACCTCCTCGCAATTTATTTCCAAATTGCGCTCTCCTTCCATCGTTTTTTTTTTAAAAACTTTATGCAAGAATCGCGCTCTCGCGTGCAATTTATTCAGGCGCCGCGCTCTCGCCGCTGAGGGGTCACGCTCTCGCTGTGGATTTCTTCAGGATTAGTTGGGGATCGCGCCATCGGTCGGAACTTCCTGCGATTCGTGCAGGACCCACGCTTCAGCAGCCCACGTGCTCGACTTGGCCGCTTGGGCTCGCCTTCCCGATCCGCCTGTTACCACCTGATCTGCCCGTCTGGTTCCGCCACGTGTTTTCTGCTCCTAGCCCCCCTCCTCCTGCTTTCTCTCTCTCGTGCTCCAGTCTCCTCCCTCCCCCTTGTCCCTTTCTTCCATCCGTCATTTCTTCTCCTGCCGTAGTGGCCGAATGGCATGCACGTTGCATGTGGGAGGGATTTAACCCTTGGGGGGGTGCGATCGAAGACGAGGAGGGCAGGCATCGGGGCCCAGCAGCCCAGTCTGAGCAGGAATACTCACCCTGACCAAAAAGTAGGGTGCAAGCCCCGAAGGGGGCACTCCAATGGAAGGAGCACGCTGTGCATCTGTCAGGGGGGATCAGCAATAATCATTCTTCACGAGTGCGGGTTCACCGACAACAACAGCAACAACAACACCATTACCACTTATTTTGCAACGGTTCGCTCCCTTTTGCTCAGGTGCCATTCAACACGTGCACCCCCAAACCTCAATACCTGGCCTCTTCGTCTTCGATCGTACCACCACAGGGGTATATCTTTCTCACCTGCAACGTGTACTTCGTGCAGCCCCCAAGGCAGGGGAAGAGAGGACGTTTGGAAGGAAGGGACAAGGGGGAGGGAGGAGGATGGAGCACGAGAGAGAGAGAGAGAGTAGCAGGAAGGGGGCTAGGAGCAGAAAGCTACGGGCAGATCGGGCGGGCAGGCCCTAACAGGCGGGTCGGGAAGGCGGACGAAGGCGGCCAGGTCGATCAGGCGGGTTGCTGAAGCGTGCGCCCTGCATGAATCGCGAGGAAGTCTCGGGCGTTAGCGCGATTCCCAAGTAAATCGTGGGAAAGGCCAGAGCGAGAGCGTGATTCCTGCGTGTCGAGGGCGCGGCGTGTGAAAAAAATGCGAGGAGGTCCCACGCGAGCGCGATTCTGCTATACATAGTGATGAATCCCGCGTGGGAGCGATTTTGAAATAGCTTGTAAGGAAGTATCAGGCGAGAACTGTTGTCGTTGTAACTCGGGGCCAGGGGCCCAATTCTGAGATCCAAGTCTTTCTCTTGGCTGCGAGACTCGAGAAGGGCACTCAACTCCAATTGATAAAATAGAACGCGCCCCAGAGGGGGGACCAACAACAATTAGTCTTCAGACATGAGAGTTCAACAACAACAAAAATACCAACAGCACCATCAGTAACAACAAGCAACACAGCACACACAAACAAACAAACAAACAATTGAACAAGCAAACGCACCAACAAACAACCAAACAGACAAGCCAACACGCACACAACCACACAGACCGACCAGACAAACCACCACCACCACCACCACCACCGCCACCACCACCACCACCACCAACAACAACAACAACAACAGCAGCAGCAGCAACAGCAACAACAACAATAACAACCACAAACCAACCAACAAGCATGATCAATGCCACGGGATCCCTCTTATGCCACGCACCCAGGGAAAGTGAACGAGCGTTCGGCCCCCTCACTCTGACTTTTCCCTCCCCTGACCCCAGGCTGCTGTACCGCACCGTCTTCCGCCGCGAGCTGCCGCGGCGGCTGTCCACCTACTGCTGCGGCCACTTCGTCGCCAGCTCCGCACGGCTCCAGGCGGTTCCGCCCGCCGAGGCCCAGCGGCTGCTGGACGCCGTCACCTCGGGGGCGTACACCGCCCTGGCGGGGGGGCCGTGCGAGGTGGCCAACATTCTCAGGGGAGAGCCGGGGAACTCCGAGGAGGGAGCGGTGCCGACGGCAGGGCTGCGGGCTGCGCACGGACAGCCCCCCCGCAGAGCTGGGCCTGGCTGGCTTCAGCGGGACCCCCGAGTGGTCCCGGCCGACCTCCACGGGCCCCCCCGGGCAGTCTGCGGAAGGCTCGAGCCTCAACGCACTGGCGCCGCCTGCGGTGGCAGGGCTCGAGCTAAACGGTGTTTTGGCAATTTCGTGGACCGTTTTCGTTTTGACTTCGTTTTGCAGCAAATGTGGAACGAAGACAGAACTAGGGATGACGAAAACAAGACGAAAACGGAAAAAGCTGTTTCACTCGAGCCCTGTGCAGTGGCTCCCCTGGGGCGCTCCGCGCCCCAGGGTTGGGGTGCTGAGACCGCTCCGGACTGCTCGGGGGGCCCGCTGAGGTCAGTCGGGACTATTCGGGGGGCCTGTTGAGGCGAGCCAGGGCCACCCTGAGGGGCTGTCCGCGTGCAGCCCGAAGCCTTGCTCGGAAGTGGTACCGATACCGCTGCTCGTCCTGGAGAGTTCTCGTGGCCACGGCAGGATTCTCCTTGAAATCCTGATCAGGACGCACTCCGATAGAGGTCCAGGGAGTAGCGGTATCGGTACCTTTTTGTCCCCCCAGGGGCCACCGTCGCCTTCGATGCTCGTTTTGTGGACATTCTTGGGGCCTGCCTGGCTGATCTGGCCGTCCCCAGTTCGACTCCAGTTCGGATCAATTTCTGCTCTAGCTCGACTCTAGCTCGATTCTAGCTCGACTCGAATCCGACTCAAGCTCGACTCGGGTTGACGGACGCGGGATGCAGCATCGACGCATGAGTGGAGCGAGTGGCTCCAGGAAGTTCCCAGAACGAGCATCTAAGCCACCGAGAACCCCCCCGATGGATTCTCAGTGGCGGTGTTTTCTGTTTCTCACCTGACATTGAGGAAGAACCCATGACCGAAGCACACACTTTCAGAGGTCCGCGCGGATCTTCTTGCATCGGCGCTGGACCCCTTCTGCCTGGCACGCGGAGCCTGCCAGCGGCGTCCAGCGCCGATCCGAGAATTCCCAGCGGACCTCCGCAAGTCTGTGCCGGTGCCGCTGGTCCTCCCTCCAACCGTGCCGTGCTACGTCGTGGAGTACATTGCAGGGGCAACGACAGCGGGGGACCGGCCTGGCAGGATGGTCGTTGGCTAGGGGGGGTGGATATCATGGCGGGGGCCATGATATTTTCCCAGATTTCATGGCGCCTCTTCTTGCCTCATCACGTCCCTGGCCCCCCGGGGCCATCGGCCAGTTCCCCCCCCTCCCCGAGCCGAGGAGCCAGTTCCCCCCCCCCTGGGCCAGCTGCCTCCCCCCCCTCGAGCCAGCTGCCCCCCCCCCCCCCCCTCCCCTCCCCGAGAGCCAGGGCCAGCTTTCAGTCGGGCACGTCCCTCTACAGGGGGAATGTCCCAGAATAGTCGAAACGTAGTCTGGGGACTCTTTTTGGAGTATTTATGACCATTGTGGAGTTTCTTGGAGCATTTTTTGTTTTTCGTCGAACATCCCCCTGTAGGGGGACACGCCCGACTTAATGCCAGTTGCCCCCCGGCCCCCCCCCTCTCGGCGCTGAAGTTTGGTCCCTGCCCTCGCCGATCAACGATTTTGGGCCACTCGGGCGGCGAGGGCAGGGTTCGAAGCCCGTCGAGAACGCGCGGCGAAATCCGAGCTCCATATACCCCCCCCCCGGCCACTCCCCCCTCGATTCCGCAGAATCGCTGCTTGGTGGGGGTAGGGTCTGGATATCGCCACCTATCCGACGAAGGCATCTATGCACCACCACCGTGGCAAGGCAGGGCCATCCTGGGCCCCAGGACGGCCCTGCCTTGGCACGGCCGTGGTGTATAGATACCTTCTGCGTAAGCTACCCCCCGAGCCGATTCCCCCTCTCTCGGCGCCCCCTCGCCGTCTGGCACGTCCTCCTCGGGGAGGCGGACGAGCCGCCGCGGCGCTCCGAGGACGCCCGGCTGCCCCTCGCGCTGCGCTACGAGGGCGGTCGCGCGACGACCGTCCCCTCGCCGATCCGCTTCGCGGCCTACCCGTCGCGGTTCGGCGGCCACTGGCTGGATGCCTCTGAGCAGCACGTTGAAAAAGTGCGTCCCACTCTTCTTCCTCCTCCTCCTCCTCCTCCTCCTCCTCCTCCTCCTCCTCCTCTTCTTCCTCCTGCACCACGGGCTGGATGCCTCTGAGCAGCACGAGGAAAAAGTGCGCCCCCCTGCTCCTCCTCCTCCTCCTCCTTCTCCTCGTCCTCCTCCTCCTCCTCCTCCTCCTCCTCCTCCTCCTCCTCCCCCGTAGCCATTCTGGCTCAAGACGGAGCTTACCTCCCGTCCCGACTCCCGAGGCTCGAGGCCGAGGTGGAAGGGCAGCCCCTTCCAGAGGCCTGGCTGCCTCGGCCAGCTTTCAGTGAGCTCCTGCTGGAGCGAGCAAGCCGTTTTGGCATACGTGTGAGAAGAGAGGCCAGCGGATGGCCCCAGTCCTCGATGACAAGGACTGGGATGTCTTGCTTGGCCCGAGGAAGCCAGATTGGGCGTGTGGCTCTTGCACCCGCCTGCATAACTGGGCGTCCAGGATCAAGTGTGAGTGCGGGCGCTCGGCACCCGCACATATTCGAGCGCGAGACTTCACTGCCCACAAGGTTGCCATGCAGCAGCTGGAGCGGAGTGGAGGCAAAGACAATGGAAAAGGAAAAGGACGTGTTCAACCGAACGATAAAGGCGGTGGCAAGGGCGATAAGCTCAGTGCGATGGAGAAGAAGCTGGACTCCCTTATGGCATCGCTCTCGAAGAGTACCACTTCGACTATGGAGCCCCCTCCGACACCTCCATGGCAGCGTGAGGCACAGGATCGGGCGAGCAAAACTGCTGAGGCTGAACCAGACACTGATGAAGGACGACGAGCTAAAGTTGCCGTTCAAGTTCAAGAGCTGGAGGCCTCTATCAAGACGATGGGAGCGCATGAGGAGTTCAAAGATATACGGTGCAGCATGGAGACCAAGCTCTCGACGCTGCGCACACAGCAGAAGCAGATGCGGCCACCTCAGACAGCACACCGTCGTGCTGCACAGGATCTCAGCAAAGCGAAGGCTGCGATCGCAACGATGTCGAAGGATTTGGCCGACAAGAAAGATCAGTATGAGAAGCTGCGCGTTTCGATCGTGGAGCGCGAGCAGACGTTGGAGGCGAAGGTGCAGCTGGCGGTCTTGCAGACGGAGTTTGACAGGGCGGCTGCGCTGGCGTCGCCGAAAAAGGAGAATGCCGATGGAGAGTGCAAGCCCGTCCCTGGCTCAGTGCTGCTTCGCGACATCGACAACTTCAAGAAGGAGAACCCTGAGGCCGAGGACTTCCTGGCAAGTCCGCTCTGGGAGAAGTTGCAGGCTCACATCCGCGTTATGCCGAAGGAGACTGTCCCTGATGACAGCATGGGTGATTCAACTGGTGATGATGCTGCATGGACTAGTGCAGGTGGTGGCGCACCCTCTGACAATGGTGCTGCGGCAGCAGGAGCTGTTGGCGCAGATGCAGGGCGAGCCAAACGTAACAATGAGCTCAGCGAGTTGTCCAGCGAGGAGCGGCTTAGCCTTTGGTCCAGCTGCTCAAGTTTCGAGGACTTCACTGCCAAGCTGGAGGAGCTCTACGTTGCGAAGACAGCGCGGCATGGGTGACGAGCATCTCGCTGCGCATGATGGTTGGAGGGGATAGGGGGCCACTCACATCCCCTTCAAACTTCGAGGACCAGAGATGTGGCAGCTGAAGGTGCGGCTCTACATCTTGGCGGCAAGGGTGAGCGTGCAGGTGGCGCCTCCCCTGTTAGTCCGACTTCTGCGGGTGCCGCTGGGGTTCGCGAGCGGCCAGGCCGAGAGGTGGCAGCTGAAGGTGCGGCTCTACATCTTGGCGGCCAGGGTGAGCGTGCAGGTGGCGCCTCCCCCGTTAGTCCGACTGAGGGTGCTGCTGGGGATCGCGAGCGGCCAGGCCGAGGTGTGGCAGCTGAAGGTGCGGTGCTTCCTCCTGGCGGCAAGGGTGAGAGTGCAGGTGGCGCCCCCCCTGTTAGACCGACTTCTGAGGGCGCTGATGCGGCGCGCACGTGCCCAGGTGCTGGAGCTTGTGCGCCTCTGTGCAGGAAGTAGGATGACAACGGATTTCTGATGCCACGCGTCGCAGGTTTCAGGCCACATTCGTTTCCACCAGCACCGCCTGTGATGGGCAAAAACAGCGGTGAACGTGTGACCGGGAGCTTCAATTGCAGCGGCGGCAAGGGCGCACTCAGAAGCGTCTCAAGGCGACTCGAGCGTTAGTAGTGATTGTGCAAGGGTTCGGCCATGTGGCTGACCAGGTTGAAGCCATTCAGGGTTGGGCGCAAGTGCGAGGTTGGAACATGATGGCGCTGCCCTCATGTCCGTCAGCAGGTAATGTGCCCAGTGCTGGAGTAGCTGTTTTTGTGCGCAGTGAGTGCGGAGTGCGTGCGCCCCAACTTGGCATGCGTCAAGTATGTGAGCACCGCGTGCAGCATGTGCAGCTCGACATGCCAGGATGGCCCACTCTCCACTTAGTCAATATGTACCTGTACCCAAGCATAGGCCCTCAGGGCAAACATGCAAAGCTAATGGCAGCAGCAGGTGCAGTTGTAGAGAGTGTTGAAGGCCCGTGTGTAGTGGGCGGCGACTGGAACATGTCCCCAGATGAAGTTGAGGATTCAGGTTTCTGTAGCTTTGCGGGTCTCACGCTAGTATCCACTAAGTTGTGCACGTGCCGAGGTGGAACAGGTAGTTCGATCATCGATTATTTTGGTTTAAACGACCCGTGCATGCGCGCATATAAACATGTTAAACTTGACACGAGTTGGTCGATCAGACCCCATAGACCCGTGCAACTAGCCATTGCAAGCCAGGGTTTCAGAGTGCAGCATATAGTGTACACCGTTGCGCCTTCTCTTTCAATCTCCCCCCCGATCGCCCCTCGTCCCAAGCCACCTGACTGGGGTCCTGTGAAGGGGGTTGGTTGAGCGCTGTGTTGAAATGGCGGGGGACGGGATGGCTGATCCAGGGGTGGTGCATCACCTTTTAAGTGCGAGTTGGGGCAAGTTTGCCCAGATCACTGCACGGCACATCAGTTCTTGCACTGGGGCGCGCAAGATAGCTTCGGTACGTTTCGGCGCCAAGTTGCACCGCGCTGGGTCAATGTTGAATACCCTGTGCCTGCTGACAGCGAGAAGTGTTTAGTAGCGGACAGGTGGCTGTGGCTTCGTAACGGAGTCCAGCACCTAGGTCAGCTAGCGGATTTAGATGATATGAATGATGCCAATCAGAATGCTATGCTAGCCGAATTAATTGTTTTTTTTCGGGATTCCGACTACCCAGGTCTTGGTCTGAGCGCTCGGTTAGATAATTCGGTTAGGCAGGCGCGAATCATGTTGTGCCAGGAGTTTTCTCGGGAAGATGTTGAGCAGTTTCTCGAAGATATCTCGAAGATATCTCGAATATATCTCTGTAGAAAGGTGCATCCACAGAAATCCAGACCAGCTGGGGTGATTGGTGCAAGACTGCCAGCATGGGAGGTGCGCGGGGCCTTCACAGGGCCACGAAGGTTCGGAGCGTTGTTTCCCCTACGGTTGTCCACGATCCTAAAGGCCCCAGCGCTGACCCCCATAGTGTAGTGCAGCACGAGCTGCAGATTTATCGCAAGCTCTGGCGAGCGACCGCCACCCCACCGATTGCCTGGGTCCCAGATCGGTCCAGCTTTCCTCGGGCCGATCCTGGGGAAGTGCGCAGAGTTATTCAGAGCTTTTCCGAGACGACGGCTAGGTCCTTGGATCAGTTTCATCCACGGCATATCTTGCTACTCGATGATGAGGGCTTAGATCTGTTAGCAGGTTTGTGGCAGTGCTGCGAGGCGATCGGCCTCTTACCCAAACAGCTGTTGTGGGTGCTAATGCCAATGTTGCCGAAACCATCGACAGGACACAGGTTAATCGTGCTCTATAGCGGTATGTACCGCATCTGGCAGAGGCTGAGGCGGCCTGTGCTAGGTGCTCTCTTGGAGGAGGTGGAGCGTGGGTGCTGGGGGGCGAGTCGGGGGGGGGAGTTCGGTGGATTGTGCGTGGGCACAAGCAGCGAGAGCGGAGGCCGATGTGACCTCCAACCGCTTCATTGTACTCCTAATTGCAGATTATAGTAAGTACTATGAGACGATCCACCTTCTCGAGCTTCGGGACAAGTTTCTCGCATTCAAGGTGCCCACGACATTTTTGAAACTCGTTTTCAATGTGTGGAGGGCTCCCCGGGTGTTGCGCCGCAGGCAGCGTCGCTCTGACGGGGTCGCCCACGCTGATTTCGGTCTACCCGCTGGGGATTGCTTCAATGATATCAGCATCAAGGTGCATGCAGTTAAAGCGTTTGATGAGTTTGTTGCAAGTCAGCCTCCTCTTGTTCGTTTCGCATCTTATATAGACGACTCGGGCATGCAGATATCCAGCTCCCAGAGAGAGAGAGAGAGAGTGCAGTGCAACTTGCCATCTCTGCAGGCCGTGCTTTTTATCACGCGAGTAAGCAGATCAATGCGGTGATCAATGATAAGGTCGCCGTTGTCGCCAGCGAGGTTTCACTTGCACGGGATGTCGTGCGAGGCCTAGGGCTTGCGCCCAAGGTCGTGAAGCACTCAGTCACTTATCTCGGAGTTGATGACAGTGCTGGTGCAAAGCGTTCGTCTGCCCGTGCGCGTGTAAAACAGCGGTCCCGCCTCTGGGGAATGAAGGTGAGCGTAAAAAAGACGGGCAGGTTTAAGTCTCGAGCTCCCAACGAGGAGGCCAAGAAAGGTCTGTCTTAGGTCCTTCGCACGGGTGTTGCTCCTGCGTCGTCGTGCGGGTCTGAGATCTTAAGGTTTTCGGAAGCTGAGCTTAACACTGTGCGAAGGACGCAAGCTCGAAGGTTGCCCCCCTCTCATGGAGGGACAAGTGCGACTGCGAAGCTTGTGCTGTATGGAGAGTGGGACGCTCGAGCAGCAGTTGGTCCTGCCCTTCAGTGGTGTCGAATGCTTTGGAATTCCCAGGTCAATCCCACTCGTTCCCTGATTCCCTTCCAGGAGCTGCTTCAACTTTGGGGGCAGGCCAAGGCCAGCGATGCTGTCGATTGGAAATCCAGCCGTGGCCCCTTGTCTCGCGCCACGTTATCGGCTCGTCGTGCTGGCTGGAAAGTGGTGTCAGGAACGCAGTGGATCGACCATTGGGGGTGCACCGTAGATTTAAGTAAGACCCCGCCTCGCCTCCTTCTCGACCTTCTGAGAGAGGGCTTACAACGAGAGGCTGAGTTTCGTTTTGCACGCAGGCTTGGACAGGTGCAGGGCACGCGTGCTACGTTCGACCTTGTGCGCAATTGCATGTGTACGCGCAGTAAGCATCACGCTCGCCAGCAACAATTCCTCCTTTTGTCCTGCGCCACGGGTGCGATTTGGACCGAAGCTCGCGCGTGTGATGCTGGTTACTTAACTGATGGCATGTGTGTGTGTGTGTGTGTGTGTGTGTGTGCGGCCAGCGTGACACGTTGCACCATAGGCTGTGCACCTGTGAGCGCCCGGAGGTTGTGGAGGCCCGACGAGAGCTTGAGATCCCGTCGGAAATTTTAGAGGAGGGGGCACGCAGCGATGATCCTGTGTTCACTCGTGGGCTTTTCACGTTCTCTGATGATGATGTGCCCCCTCCTGCCTCGGACTCCCATTGTGACGTCCTCGACGGCGCAGGAGCCGATTTGAATATGCAGCCTGAGGATCTTGCGGCGCTCGCAGGAGACGTTGTGCAACTGGAGATGGCGTCGGGCGGGAGCTGCGCGAAGCAGGCCCTTCGCTGTTTCCATCGAGCTTCGTGGGCGATCGCGCTCATGGAGCCAGGCAGTGAGTCTCTCTTGGCCGTCCTCAGGGGTATTGTGCCTGGTGGTCTCCCCCAAACCCCTGCGATGGCGGAACATGCGGGGGCGGCCCTAGTCGGGCAGGTAGCTGATCGCCCCACTTCCCTGGCCCTGGATTGTAAAGCTGTGATTTGTCAGACCCAGAGGCCTCTTTGGAAGCAATTAGCTGGCTCCAATAAAGATGCTGGTGCGAGGCGTTTTGCCCATGAGCTAGCAGGCGCGGAGTTCCTGCCGACCTTCCATGTAAAGGCCCATCGTGAGTTGTCTGCTCTCGAGGAGTTGGAAGGCGAAGATCGTAGGTTTGGTCTCGCGAATCGCGCTGTGGACCAGCGCGCAAAGAAGGCCCTTAAGGGCCGCCCGCGGCCCCTGCCCACGTTTTTGGACCGTGTCGATTTGTATCAGAAGCGAGCTGATGCGTTCATGCAGCTTGCTGCTGCAATTTTACCCCTCTTAAAAAAACGAAGTGCGTTGGAAGAGGGCCGCTTTCAACGCCCCAGGGAGAAGCCGCCGGCAGAAGACCTGGCATCTTTGGAGGAGAACCGAACTTGGGATGCAATGCAGGTATTGTTGGACGGTGTGTGATCGACCCGATCGGCCCATGTTCGGTTGCAGGGGTCCGCCTCCTGCTCTCCAGAAGCTGCTGCGTGATCCCCTGGGGCATCAGCTCGTCGCTGTGTCGGGCTCGGCTCTTGAGGTTCGGCGGTCGGAGGCTGTCCTGGGGCCTTGCAGAGAGCAGCAGATTCTGTGTTTAAAATGCGGGGGTTGGTCTC